GCGGATCAGAAATGATACGTAATTGAGGAGGCAGAGAGTTCCAGAGTTTAGGAGCAGAGAAAGAAAAAGAGCGTTCACCGGTACGAATATGCTTGACTCGTGGAGTAACAAGTTTGAGGGATTGAGAAGAACGAGTAAAACCAGGTGATTGAAGATAATTCCGTACGTGCCGTCTTGATCCAAATTAATGAAGCCGGGACAACAGTTGTTCAATGCAGGGACCTATCTCTAGTATTACATTAAAAATACAAATTAAAATTCGGTACAAATTAACATGATATGACCGCAAAAAACCTCCCGGCGTCAAACACACGAGTGGGTACGAAACGTCCCCATGTCATGTGTACACCGTGAACTCAAGCGGTAAAGTAGTTTTTTATTACGTACGTACTGTCCTGATTCAAGGAATGAACTTTTCGGCCCAACCAGCTGGGCCCCTAGGCGACAGGCTTACTTAAAGTAGTTATGACGGTGGGAGACAATTTTACCCCTGTAAGTACTGTGCTCTTGCCGCCTCCCCCCACCTCCAAGCCACTAATTAAGTATATTTTTTTTTCATTTTTCATTTTTTTAAAATTTTTTAAATAAAGTCTAACTCTAAGCTACTTTTGGTCATGATATGGTGTGAAGATTACTGCAAGGACATGCGACAAAATATAATGAAATTTACTAAACTACTATAACAATAATTTGACCAATACTGTAACTCTATGCCAATTTGCGTTAAATTTTTTTTTTCTCTCATCCTACTCTCACGGGTGACACATAATTTTTCACACATTTAAAAAAAATTAATTTAATGAAACGATTTTTCATCAGACCGTATGGGCTTATGGTTTAAATAATGAAGCGGTAATACTGTAATAATAATTATGTAATTTAATTTATTGCACAGGGTTTACTGAACATTTGAAATTGGAGTTTGTATACAAAAATACTGCTGTGAGATGATTATTTGTAGTGCTTTCTAAAACAGAGCTTACAGTAAGGTACAGTAAAGGTAAACAGAATTACAATACTATGCTTATTGGATGATTACTAATATTCTTATTTTATTTATTATGTACAGAATGCATGGTCAATGTTGGTCAGTAAATATAGTTCAATAAATATTGATGCATTGAAAATAAAGACAAGGTTGTCATAAGATTTATTTTATTAATGCAGCCGTTATTTAATGGTATACATGCCCGTGGTTAACAAATCTAAATATAGTACATCTATGTTGTGTAATATAATATGGCATGGTACATTTTCTGGCAATCACTTATTTGTCATTGTAAACCTTACCACAGTGGCGTAGCTAGACGTTTTGGCGCCCGGGGGAAAGAGTAGAAAATTGCACCCCCTTCTCCCCACCCCCAAATATAATTATAATATTTTGAAATTAATTGATATTGGTTGACCGTACCATACGTCCATATCATGCACTGTCTAAATAACATTATTTAAACCCGAGTAACTATTAGGGCCTATTATTCTAGCTCTCATATGTTGTTCTTAGCAGGGGTGTGGCACCAGAATTTGCCCGAGGGGTCCGAAGTCCGGGAGGGGTGGGGCAGGTGCCCCGACGAGGGTGAAGATTTCCTTGATGAGAGCAAAGTGGGCGTGATCAAACGTTGTGGGGGAAGGGGGTGAGGGCTAAGCCCCCGAAAATTTTTGACAATTGATGGGTTTCATAGGCTTATTTAATCGATTTTAGAGTCTACTAATATACAAACTATGGTTTTTCCCCCGACGGGGGCCTGGTGCCACTCCCGTTTCTTGCTATTGAAACTGCATTACAATATTCGGGAACTTTGTATACAACACATTATCCTAATATGTAAGGCTGTTGTATTTATCGCATACAGCAGTATTCTTATTCTTATCTTATAGTAGAGTTCTTCTAAGTTGCTGAATTTTTAACATTGTTTAAACTCGCAACTGAATTTTGTGTGCTTTTGCATCAGCAAATAAGTTAACAACATGATCAAAGTTAGCAATGTTGTCTGCTTCATCACGCTCAATACTAAGTATTGCCAAAGCAGATGATAGTCTCGCTTTTCCCATCGTGGCTCTGAAATATGGCTGGATGAGCTTTAGTCATGTAGTCATTACAGAATAGGATAAAAAACAAGAGAAAACGGTCAAAATGGACTGAAAAGAAATCACAATCTAAAAATTTGCCAATAAAAACAACTACATTCAGATTCTTATAATTAACTGGAAAATATTCATGCCTGATGACACATCAATTTCGTCATGTTTTTCTTCTTATTTTTTTACTCTCATTCTCCCATTTTAGCACCCCCTCAAACCTGGCGCACGTCGCACCTGCCCCCCTTGACCTCATAGCTACGCCACTGCCTTATCACTCTGACTACCATTTCAGTCGAAAAACCCCTTAAACAAAAATGCTCATGCATGATTTTTTTTTTTTTTTTAAATATATATATATATATATAAGATGACGACACGGACACGCTACAAACTGAGGCTACAGTTGCAGCCAGTTAATGAACATGGAAAGGATGAGGATATCGCTACTGGTAGTACAAAAAGAAAAACCTGGCGGGATAAACTTAAGAAAAACCCACAAGAATATGAGTTCCAGAAGCTGTCAGACAAACTATACTCAATGAATTATCGACAAAATATGAGCAAAAAGAAAAAAGCAGACTACAGAGAGAAAACCAGGCTTAGAATGCAGAAGTATCGAGAGAAAAAGAAAGCAAGCAAAGAAAATCAAGCAAAGACTGAAACGAAAAAAAATAAAGGAAAACTACCAATGCCAAGGTCACAGAAAGCAACCGATGAAAGAAGGAAAGAAAAGGAAAGGTTGAAGAAGCGAGCATTAAGGAAACGTCCTGGCTACAAAGAAAGAGAAAATGCAATTAGAAGAGAAAAGAGAAGAAACGAGCGACAAGAACTACTGGAGTTCAGAAGAATGAAAGCAGAGCAATTAGAGAAAGAGAGGAAAGAAAGAGAAGAGGAAGAAAAGAGAAGAGAAAAAGAAGAACAAGAAAGGCTAAAGCAAATTGAGGAGGAAAAGAGGCTGAATGAGATAGAACCAATGCTGACTGATAAAGAAAGTGAAAAGAAAAAGAAAGAGCAAGCCTGCAGAAACTTGAAGGCACTTGGAATGGACATAAAGGCACTTAAGAAAAGCAGAAGAAAGGCTGACCATCCCAGAAAGCGCCTAGTCCTACAAAACATACATTAAGAATTATCGTCTTCAGCGGAAGGCCTCCGCAACTGTCAACACCACTTTTAAGTGGTGGTGACAGTTGCGGAGGCCTTAAAAAAAATTTTTTAAATTTAAAAAAATTAAAATTTCAATTAATTAATTTGTTAGGAACAGAGGTGTTGATGATTAATGGTTAATGGTTTTCAATTTTATAAAGCGCAAAATATGAAGAGTCTCTAAGTGCTAAGTAACATGCTAAGTAGCCTGATAATTTTTTATCTATAAGGTAGTTAACAGGCCCGTATGTAGGTTGTTTAGGGACCCTGGCTGGGTCCACACGCTGATAAGCTCTGACAAAGTACTGTGGCATTTTGAGGCCCTATTTAATGGATTTCTATAACCCATAATTTGCCTTGGTTTCAAACTATCGATTGCGACCCAAGTTAAAGTCGCCAAAATAGTTTACAGGTCGGCAGACGTTTAATGTTTTAGGAGACTGGTAGCTCAGTGTCTCACTTTCTTTAATTGGGCATTTTTTCCATAAAGTAAAAGTAGATTTTTTTTCTATCATATTGACCTTGATTCTTATGTTTGCTTCTTATCGTTTACGCCTAATCAAATATTGTTACCTGCTCTCTGACGTCTGGTGGATCTAGGATTTAACAATAGGGGGTGAATAATGTTTGGTTTGAGTTTGGTGGGGGTGTGGGTTGACGTGGTTTTGGCAAGGGCACAGATGTGTTTTGAAACCTCAGGCCTACCATGGTTGGGCCTGAGGTGAGCAAATTTTAGGAAATAGTACCTCTAGATGGCCGGAGATTCATCATCATCACTTTACCATAGTCAAAATGAAGCGCCAACAAATTTCTCATGATCTTTTACCAGCGATTTTCGGAAACCATAGAAATCTAATGTGTGTGATGTACCATAGAAAATAAAACTTAAAAACATTGTCTTTGATGTACTTACTTTACTAACTTCCAAGCTGTGAGGCCGTACATCTACCTCAGCCCCACTATTGTTTGGGTGGAGGTGAGAAGATTTGAGGAAATAGTACCTCTAGATGCCCGGAAATGAAACTTTTATATAGTAAAATACATTATCACATCACGATTATATAGTCAAACTCATAAGCGGCAACAAATGTTCCATGATGTCTTACCAGCGATTTTCGGCAACCATAGAGATGTAATTAATATATGCGTGATGTAGGCCTACCATAGAAAATGAAACTTAAAAACTTGATCTTTAATGTATTTCACTATTAAGCTTGAAAGAGCTGTGAGTTCACATCCAATCATGGTGGTGCTGAGGTGAGAAAATTTGAAGAAATAATACCTCTAGAGGCCCACTAATGACACTTTTGTATAATAAAATTCATTATCACATCAACATTATATTGTCAGAATTTTTTTCAACCCATGTATTTTTCTTGTACTATAAGTCTTTAAGCAGTGCTGTTCCAGTATTTACAGTAGGCCTATAATTTATTTGATTTTCAGTGTATGGCCTACATTCGTAATGGCCTTTTTGCCTGTTTTTATCTTTTTTTTTGTGTCGTTAAAGATCTTCGCTGGTAGTTCTTCCCAACAGTATTCAAGAAATAAATGTTGTTAATAATTTTAAACTTAATATTAAGGAACATTTTAAACGTTATCCAAGTGTATTTGCTTAAGCTGTTTTATGGTAACATTTTTATCATTTTAATCTTAAAAATTTTAAACTTGTAACTCTTTTCAATTTTATTAAATCTTAAAATTCGCTTAAGCTGTTTTATGATAACATTTTAATCCTAATAAATTGACACTTTTATATAATAAAATTCATTATCACCTGAACAGTATATTGTCAAAATGTAGTGCCAACAATTTTCTAATGTTTTACTAGCCATTTTCGGCAACCATAGAGATGCATCATAGAAAGTGAAACTAATATCAACATTGTCTTTAATGTATATACTTACTTTAGACCTACCTACTTCAAAGCCGTGAGTCCACACCTTAGTTGGGGCAAATTTGGGAAAATAGTACCTATAGATTGATGGAAATGACACTGTTATATTATAATTCATCTTCATCGATTTAATTATTAGCTGAGATATTCCATAGAAAATAAAACTGAATTGTCTATGAGGTACAGTATTTAATTAACTTTACTTACTTCATGTGCCGAAAACCAATCTTATTACTATTATTAACTATTATTATTATTACACGCTTTTTCAAAGGCACGTGCACTCGAGTCGTGTACTATAATTATGTTTGTGGCCAGAGATACCTGTTGTAGAGCGCTCTTTCATTCCGTTAAAACCTGGGTCATTTATGCAGTTAATTTCAATAATTTTCAGGCATCTTCTTGACTTACAAAATTACATTGCAGATGAAAAATAAGGGGACCACCCCCCCCCCACTCTAAAAATATATGGAAGAATTTTCTCTCGTGATCTGCGCCCATTGGCTTTTTGGGAGGGGCGTCCCCTTCCATTTGAGATATTTTTTGGAATTAGTCGACAGCTAGACACGCTTGGATGACATCTGAAAAGAAGTTAGGCTTAAAATAAAAAGTGTATGTTTTACCAGGGTAGTCTACTACAAGTAACATATATACATGAGAAGCACACATACAAGACGAGTGACCATTTTTTGTCACGGTCACCAAAGGGGGTGGCTAGCCACCCTATTCAGTATTTTCAAACCAAACATGAAATTACAGGCACAAACGTAACAAAAAACTGTCAGGACCTTTTGGCTTACTGAGGACCAAAAACGCTGTCCTCGGAGCACTAGTGCTGCATTGTGCTGGATTTGCGTGTACAACACGTTTCCAGAGTTCCTGTAAAGGTCCTCGGCTGGCGGAAAATTTGAAAATGTGTGACAAAGCGTTACACTATTATTTGAGTGGCGTTGCACAAATAAATAGCGCCATCTATGCATAAAACGTTTAGCACATGTGTGTATGGTGTCCATGGCATAAACCTGAGCATATTTTATGGTTCTCAGCATCCTTTGCTGGTCCTCGGTCGATCCCCTGATGACTGTAGATACGCCACTGAAAACATGACAGTCAGGTAATTATTGAAGATGCTATACAATATTTGATCTGAATGACCTTAAATGAACTGTTTGTAACAATCTGACCATGTCAAAGTGGCATACTATTCATTGACCATATAAATTCAATGGTAAATAGATATATATAAACATAGTTACATAAGGTGGCCGGGGCATTTTGAAATCCAAGATGGCCGCCATAATGACCTCAGATAAAATGGATTCTACCAAAATGTAATGCTATGACCATAGGGGCATGTAAAAAGTTGGTGAATTTATCCGGAACGTCCACACAAACCAAATGTGGTAAAGCTGTCTGAATTATAACCGTATTATGCATACACCAATAAGTAAGTCGTCATAATTTTGGCAGCCATATTGAAATTAATGATATCCACATCAAATAAGTATACATGTCATGTATACATTAAAACAATTTTAGAATTTGTACACTTTTAGGATGTTCATACAGGGACCTTAGAAAATGCATTGTGCAAACAGAAATTCTGTTGCAATTTTTTCAACCCATGTATTTTTCTTGTACTATAAATCTTTAAGCAGTGCTGTTCCGGTATTTAGACCTATAATTTATTTGATTTTCAGTATATGGCCTACATTTGTAATGGCTTTTTTGCCTGTTTTTATCTCTCTTTTTGTTTCGTTAAAGATCTTCGCTGGTACTGTACTTCCCAACAGTATTCAAGAAATAAATGTTGTTAATAATTTTAAACTTAATATTAAGGAACATTTTAAACGTTATCCAAGTGTATTTGCTTAAGCTGTTTTATGGCAACATTTTTATAATTTTAATCTTAAAAATTTTAAACTTGTAACTCTTCAATTTTATAAAATCTTAAAATTTGCTTAAGCTGGTTTATGATAACATTTTTATCATTTTAATCCTAATAAATTTTAAACTTGTTACTCTTTTGAATTTATAAAATCTTAAAAATATTTAACTTGTCTTATTCTTTTAATCTTTATGCATTTAATTGTTAATTCTACCCCTCTTTGTTCGGTTTTACCGTTTTTTTATCCTGCTGTGTTTTTTACTTCTGTGTTTTGTATCTGCTTGTTAATGTATAGACTCAAATAAGGTTCTTTTTTACCTCTTCTCCTTGTCTTCCCTGTTTGCTTTGTATTTTTTGTATGTAATGGTACTGAATAAAATCAATCAATCAATCAATCAACCAACAAACATATAATTTTTAAAAAATCAATGCAATCCTTAAGCTTGCTATTTATTCTGAGTATCTAGGCCTAATATTTACATAAGGATTATATTTAACGACCTTGCAACATTCATGAATGAAACATTCATTAAATTCGTTTGTGTGGTTTTATTGAAAATCATTCATGCGTTAGAGCGTCATGGATCAATTCACAATTTATTCTGGTTTAACAATTCAGGAAGTGTGACAACAGTTCGACGCAAGGGCTTTTATATTAAACCTTTATTTTTGATAGTAATATATAAAGGTAATAATCTTGACCCCTAGGCAGAAAATCCCTAAAGCAACGTACAGTAATACATGAAAACCGCAGACATAATTTACTAACCTACGTGTTTTATATTTCAAGAAAGAAGTGACTCAATATGGCGGATAATGACAGCCTATTTCCAGCACTCACGCAAATAACTAGTACCTCGTTATCAGAAACATATTGGGAAGATGACCCAACAACTACACAGGTAAGCAGGCCTATTTAGTCTGAGATGCTCTGTCTAGGAGTGACTCAAAGTTGAAAAATGATTTCGAATTGTGGTTTTGGTGAGATTGGTTTTAAACATGGCAGAATAGCAGCAGGTGGCACCAGGAATTTGCCGACAAGGGGTCCGACATATCGGGGGGGCCGTGAAGCCTTGATCGACGGCCCGGAATAAAATAAAATCGTTAGGGTTCATGGGGAGAGTTTTCATGGCTTAATTTGGCCTAAATAAATGTGCTTTTTAGACCACAATATATTGATTGTCAATCACAATAGCGTTATTTGGATAAGGTAAATTATTATTTTTTAAATTATTATTTTTTAAATTATTTTTATTGGTCCTACTAAGGCCTAGCTGTTCGTCAGACAACACTTGGGGGTCCAGGCCAATATTACATTTACAGACTTTATCCAGAGGACACGGAACGGGGGGGGGGGGGGGGGTGCTGCATTATGGAGAGTAATGTGTGACCGGAAATGGTCTGCCAGTTGGTTGTTACCATGCGCCAGTGATGTTGGAGTACAGTAAGATGAAACTATTTATGTAATGCGTGAATGAATTGTACATTTTAAGTGCTCCCTCCATGCATAAGTGTAAGCTAAATTATGGTGATTAATTAGCGAAGATATGGAGACAATTATTTCGAAGTTCCCTCTTTCCAAGAGGGGATGCAAATGCTTTGTGAAAATGAGTACCGCGGCGTACTCATTTTTGTGAAAATGAGTACGCCGCGGTACTCATTTTCACAAAGGAATACACGCAGCTGGTTAGCTAATAATATGCAAATTTACATGAACACCTGGGAAGAAAGTTGCAACCACGTTCTGTGGCCTAGCAAACGTCTGTACTGTAGCGGGGGGGGGGGGGGGGGGCAGTGTGCCTAGCCTACTCATGTGCTGTGTATAGCAGGGGGACAATGAAGCATAATTAATAGACTAGGCCTAAGTAGACAGCCTGTGATAGAAAGTACACTTTCGAAAGAAATAAATGAAAATAAGAAAAAAAAAATTAACTACCTAAGAAATAATTCAGTTGCAGACGTACCTTGTTTCTCAATAATACCGCCATGGTAAAACTAAGTGAACTTGCATTAAAATACATAAATACACATGATATCTGATCCGCAAACTAACCTTTAATATCATAGATTATATCATAAATAATATACTATGTTATGTGTATGCAGTGATATGTTATAACTATGTATGTTGTTATTGTGTTGCATGCTGTGAAATTTACGTTACATTACATTACAATATTATATATATTATTGTTAGACTATTTTTGCCTTGTACTCTAGAGAATGGAACTGTTGCTAAATTATGCTTTGTGTGTTATTCATAACTTATCCAAGAGTACGAAGCACCGAGCAAAGTTCCGCACTCCTGAAATGAGGAAGATACTTGAGATCTACAAAGGATCACCATCTCCTGAGAGACGATCGTTTTCTATGTTAGCAATTAGTTACATGGCGGATCCAGCCATTGATATGTCACTGCTGGAGGACAAATATGGTAAGTATATACGGTCAAAGGAAGGGGATGGCTGTACAGGGGTGGATTTGGGCTAATCATAGATAAAAATCTAACTTGGAATAAACAAATTGGTAATGTAATAAACAAAGTTCTTCCTGGATTATACTACCTTAGGAAAAGTAATTATATCTTGCCCACAATCATACAGTCAATGCTGTACAAGTCAATAATTGCACCACATTTTAATTATTGCAATGTTGTGTGGGGACGATGCAATCAAACTTTACAAAATAAAATTCAAATATTACAAAATAGGGCTGCTAAAATTATTACAAAGGTCGCAAGATATGATTCAAGTTCAGAAGCACTCACTAACTTAAACTGGAATAATTTAAACACCAAACTGTATCAAGATGAAGCTATAACCATGTTTAAAATAATGAATTCTCAAATGCCAACTTAATTAAAAAACAAATTTCAAGAGCGCAATACAACATACATGACCAGGTCTAAGGACATACTTAAGGTACCCAAACCAAGCACAGAATATAAGAAAAGAAGTTTTTCCTATCAGGGAGCCATTGTCTGGAATAACCTAAACCTCAATATGAGAATGGCCCCAAATGTTCAAACATTTAAAAAACTATTGACAAATAATTGAAAGTTACTTGCATAAGATAATACAGTAATTGTTTTTTGGTTTCTTTTACTTCTTTATTTCTGTTTGTCTTGTAATTGTTTTTGTAATTTAAATTTTGTTATTATTTCCTTCAGAAACGGCCTTGTGAAAAACACATTTAATTTGTGATCAAGTTTTCTGTTTTCAAATAAAGTCATTATTATTAATAATATTATTATTATTATTATTATTATTATTATTATTATTATTATTATTATTATTATTATTATTAAGGAGGGGACGGACAGGTATACTCCACCCTTTAATACTATTTTGAACAATCAAAATTAAATGTTTCTTATGACACAGTGTTTTTGACTGCACGTCTTCAAAGAAGGGCAACATATCTATTATGTGGGCCTAAACTGCTTTGTTTAAACATATGTGACCTAGACGGCAGGAAGGTCTTGTTCTACTTTGAAATGTTTTGGCTTTATTTATGAAATATAGTGACTTTTATTTCTCAGATGCAATCACTGATTTGACAGACTATTTAGATAAATCACTGAACTCAGGAAACTGGACAGGTTTTTCTGTTCAGGAATTGGTGGAAGGAATTTCAAACTTAGCTATTCATCCTTCTAATAAAAATAAGGTAAACCGATAGATTATATGTCAATATCAATAGCCTTATCTTTTGCTGGCATCTTTTATTTAAATACAAATGAACCACATACCATATTGAAATATGTACTCTGTACACTTCTGATGTTTCTTTCTACCACTACACATTTTCTGTTTAAAACATTTTTAATTCTATAATCCCAAATTAAACCTCAAAATAAATTATTCTTAGCTACTGCAAAAAGAGTCTGTAAACACACACACAAAGTCAAAACTAGCCACCAAAAAATCCAAATATGATATTTTAATCTTTCTGTGTACAGATAATAGACAGCACTTTGCACTTGTTTTATACTATATTGGAGAGAAATTTCGACAAGAAACTGACATGCTATGTAAGACAGATTCTAGATGGATGGGGATTCAGTGAGGCAGGATGCACTACTGGCTCTGACCAATGCCAAAGAGAAACGGAAACACAAAATGAAAGTATGTATACTAGTAAGGATATTTCCTTGTTGTCATTGTCGTCATTATTATAGCATGGTCAACATTGTGTACAGTATGGGACATTCGTTTTGTTAGATTGGGAAACATCCTTACGATATTTTATAACACACCTCAATAGATCTTGTCATTTGATTGAAGGATTTTGCATCACGTGACATATACTGCCCTGCTCTGAGAAAAGGCATTAAGTAACAAAATCATAGTTTTGAGTAAATGAGCAAAACGCGTTTGAGTTTTTCCCAAGAAAAGTACAAATGATTTCAAATTTTTTAAACTATGGTTTGCTTAGATATATTATTAAACAATTTGCCACATACTTTTCATTGATTCATTTTATTATAAAGGGGGCCAAAATGGAGGTAATGCCCTTTTTTCAGAGTAATTATAACTATGAGTGTAGATTGAATGAAATTTGCAGATAATGCCCAATTTTAAAATAAAATTTCATATTTCCAGACATATTTTTTGAAATTTGATAAAATAGGGTGATAGATTAAACATTCAGGAGTCACATAAAATAAGCTAAAATCTCAATTTTGAAAAAAATGTACTTAATGCCTTTTCTCAGAGCAGGGCAGTATATTATTTACATAATTTCGTCACTCAAAAAAAAAAATTAGTTACATTGGTGCATATGTTGTTCCGTTCCACGTCTCCATCTGTTACAATGATTTTATTGGTTGAAAGAAAATGGATTGTTCCATTCTAAAGAATGGTAGGCCTAAATTTAAAAAAAAAAATTAATAAAACATTGTTGCAAAATTTGAACTCAACAAGGATTTATTTTAAGTGTGTTATAAAACGAATAATGAATGTTTTGTATTCGTGCAATGGGAAGGATATTTTCATTCTTTGAAAGGTTGACTGTTCCATTCAGTGAATGAAAATATTCTCATTGGATTCATAAACTGATAGCAGTTTTAAATTCCAGGTGAACAGCATTTTTGTTGCTGAGAAAGGCATAGGCCTAAAAATGCTGGACTGCCTGGGCTTGCATTCTGTTGGAATGTGATACAGTTTTAAAGCCCATCAATACTCTAAAGTGATTAGTCTTTGGTACATCGTTCTGGATTGCATCCAGGACTTTTACGAAGGGTGATCATTTTGAAAACCAGCTCCATTATTACCATTTGACAGGACAGAGTTTCAAAAACTTATTCTAATTCTATTTTTTTCAAATTCTAGTTGAACAGCTTAATGATGAAGCAAATAATTCTACCGAAGATATTCAAATGTTAGATAATCTTCAGGGCGTTTTGTCGGAATGTGACAGTTTTGGAACTGATATGGTCATGGAAATCATCGGCGCAGTCAAATGTATCGTTTCAGACAAAACGTGTGGCAGACGAAATATCCTCAAACATATGACTATACACGAATGGCCAGGTAAACCGGGTGATGTTTTATAAATAATTTCAGTTATAATAAGTAGAATATTAAACGACATAGACCAACATTGGCTTAGACCAGTAGATTTATGTCTTTTTCCAAGTCTTTGCAGATTTCAAAGAGAGGTGTGTATGCAAATCTAGCATCTATAAAGCAGTTCATTGATTGATTGATATATATGTATTTCACAGACCTATTTATTCGTATATTATCTGATGTGTGGACACCAAGTAAGGAGGTTTACATTGATGATCTATTGTGGCCAATCATTTTAAACACAATCATCACCCTAACCACTTACAGCGACACTGATGTGGAATTTGCAGGTATTCTTATCGAACATGGAGCATTGGAATTGATGCAAAAAATTGTCAATGCGTATTACCAACATCTTTTACAAAAGGTGAACTTAAATGTGTTTTCCCCTAATAAATACTTGCACATAAAATACTACTTACACAAGGAGCACAGTCGTATAGGATTGTAGTAAACCACCCTCATCGCCAAGATATTGAATAAATAAATAAGTTAATACACTATGCTCATATCTCGGACTATACAAATCAAGTTAAACCACAGTCGGATGCACTTGTATACCTACTGTTTATACAACTTAGCCCTTGTCGAAATCTTTAATTGTTACAGTATAATAAACTTGTAAGTATAGCTATACTGAATAAGAAAAAATTCATGGACAAAACGAATATTCTTACATGTAAAAAGGTATCACTTGAGACCAAGAAAATGCTATTAAAGTGTTATGTATGGTCTGTGTTGCTGTATATGGTAGCGAATCATCGACAATAAGTGCCAGGATGAAAAAGAAAATAGAAGCCTAGGAAATGTGGTGTTATAGAAAAATGATGAGAATTTCTTGGACTAAACGTTATGAGAAATGACCATATTTTTATATTAGTAATTGAAGAAAGACAATTATTTGTGATTATACATACAAAGGCAGTTAAGATTCGTAGGGCATGTAATCCTTGAGGATAGTCTATAGAATAGAAGGTAAAATAGAGGGATTCAGGGTTAGGGAAGGCAAAGGAAAAAGTATTTCGACTACTTAATACTGTGAACCTGGTATAAGGGAGAATCTCATTCATGCCGTCAATAATAGAGACAGGTTAAAAGATATGATTTTAAACGTCAGAATCTGACAAGGTATTTGAAGAAGTATAAAGGGTATTGTAAATGGATATTGTTAATATTCAGCAGAAAAATTATATAAACAAACTTGTTTATTTTTCTTTTTTTTTTTAAATAGAGCATGACAATTGGTGAAAAAGTAAGTGAATATAGAGGTGAACATCAGGATTTTATAGAAAACATTAAACCAAGAGGACAGTCAGGAGTGGACAAGCATCAATCAAAAGATCCCACACAATCCAATCAAACTGGACAGCCAGTAACATATGAAGATCAGTCAATCAAACCAGCAATACCCGGTATAATACCAAGTGGACAACAAGAAGCGGACAAGCTTCAGTCAATGCATCCAACACAAACCAATGTAACAAGTGGAGAGCTAGGAACAGACGAACTTCAGTCAATCGTACCAACAATACCTAATACTCGAGCTGGACGGAAAGAAACAGATCATCTACAAGTTAAACCAACTATATCCGATAAATCAAGTAGACAGCCAGAAACAGACGATAACCAGTCAACGGATCCAACACTACACAATATAATAAGTGGACAGGTAGAAAGAGACGATGATTGAACCAATAAATCATGGCACATATGGCATATATATATATATACTGTCTCTTATACACATCTAGATGTGTATAAGAGACAGGTCTAGCTCTGAAGGTCTCAGAGATGATGACCGCTTGGTAAATCGTTACTCAGTAACAAAGCGGTATTACATGCCATGTGACATGCTGCAGCAATGCACTCTTGTGGAGTTACACATTGATTTATATATTACCACTGAGATGATACTTACAGATAAGTCCTGCGCATACAGCGTGAATGACGACCAAAATTGGCAAGAAGTAGAGGGCAGCATATATTGAATTTCTACCTTGGTTTTTACAAAACTTTACTGACAGAATCGGTCGAAATAGAACCATCAACACCCACTGATAGCCAAAGAATATGAACACCATACTGTACCTAAAAAGAAAGCAAACAAATGGATATCTCATTAATATCTACACTAACAAATAACTGGAGATTTAGCGCTCTTTGAGTTTGATATATTCATAGTGGGATTTTTAAAAATGACCTAGCCCTATAAACCTAAACTTACTCTATAAACTGAAACATGGTTGGCAGTTGGGAGTTCATCTACCATTTGTTCAGCTATTTTATTTCTTGCTGCTGGGTGTTTATCCACCCTCCCACCGGCAGCTGCTAAGACCACCAAATGGGGTTGCCAGAATCAGTCGGCAGTGGCTCAACCGAATGCAGTTTATAACATCGTAGCAACGACATTATAATCTTATACTACACTTAAATGAACTAAGTAACTAATTGGTTACACCCATTTTTATTTGTTGATTATAATTTACTTGTTTAGTCAACCGGTATTGGAGCCTCGTATACTTTTAAACCAGTCAGCAAGTATGCTTGTGTCAGTGATGATTCAACCATTGCATACCGTAAACACAGCGATGTTTTGACTAACAATGCTGTGTTTGTTACTTGCGAACCAATAGAGTCATCCAAAATCTTTGAGTTTAATATCGACAAAATCGATGCACGCCATAAAGATTTCTCATTGGAATTCGGTGAGTATCCTATGAGCAACAACACTTTACACGAAGTCAAATCTGAGAGGCCAGTGATGAAAACGACGACGTAGAAATACTATTACTATTATTGTACAGCTTTATTGCTATAATACCCTATTTTTGCACCTTTGTCTTAAAGCTGGGTTCCAGAACTAACATTAAATATGTAATACGATTAATTATTGGTAGTAAAGAACAAAAGTTCCAAGGTGGGTCCACAATATAAACAAAAGTGGTGCTACTAATACCCAAAAATATCTGCGTATGTACACAAACATGGAAAGGATTAATGATTTTTGTTTTGAAAACGAAGCAGGTTTTAAAAACACACGTTTTATTTGAACTCAAATAGGCACTTATTTAGTACTTTATTTCTGTAATTCTTTGTTGCAAACTTGCGATTTTTTTCAAATAATTACTTCAAAGGTGTTAGGAATAAATTATATTAGACGGACACTCCGGAACTCACCTTAACATAGTGATTACTATTTATTCTTTTAGGTGTTTGCATTTACAACGACAAATTTCCAGATGATGTTTTTTACGAAGGATATGGATTCGGTCAAGGAAGCGGATTCTGGATATTACTGTGAGTTTAAAGCCGGTAACACGCTGCATCATATATTCTTTTATATATGGTATCTTACACACTTGCGCTTAGTGGATAGTGCTGAATCCGATCCCCAAGTAGCAGCGGCCGGGCACTGCAATTCTATTCCGATTGTGTTTGTGTCAGGAGATTGAAATGATGTTTTTCCCTATGTTTTCTTGAAAAAAGGCATACCGTAAAACCTCGAATTGAAGCCAAATGGGCTTTCTCAAGATGAAGCTCATCTCGATTTGAAGGCGCCCCCCCCCCCTTTTCTTTCGTTAGCAAAATTACACCCATGGGCTTTTTTTCGAGATAGCATAGGATTCATTTCGAGGGAGTACAGTGCATACATTGTACATAAATTTTAAAAACAAAATAAATTAAAAACAAGCTTGGTTTATACAGTAGTTTAGGTGATTTAATTCCAGTTAAATACACTCCATGATACAGCTAGATTGATGTTACAATGTCCTTATGTATTGTTTTATAGTAGAAATTCGCAAAATTTACAGCATTCATTTTGAAAAGAAGCTCCCCTCTCTACTTTGCAAAAGTATCCTCTAAAAGAAGCTCATCCAAAGTTTGCAAAAAACAGCAGCCCTGGGCTTTAATTCGAGGTTTTACGGTAAGTAATGTTCAAAACATCTATCCAAATAAAACCATAACAATCTATTAAATTTTTACTTTTATTTTTAGAGGCAATAGTCTTAGGAAAGATTTTGCGTTGGTCGGCAGGAATTATAAACTTAACCTGCACACCATACACGTAAATGATAGAGTAGGATTGGTTAAACATCCGAATGGATCTATGGGTTTTCTATACAATGGGAAGTACCAAGGAAACGCTTTTCGCAATGTACCTGAAGGTAAGCTTTGGTAATAGAGAATAAATCCATTTAATCGTCTTTTAATCAACAGTAGATATTTCTTTACTGTATAGAACCTAGATTATGCTGACATAATTAGTTACTGTACCAATAATATTACACATGAAGTTGACTCACATATATCATGAAGATGACTGATGAAAATAATGATGATGATTATTTTTTTATGAATACCGTAATATCCTATTTTTAAAAATTTATATTTGATAAATAAAAATATTATTTTTCACATAGAAACATCCCTTACCCAAACCAATGTGACACCCATGCATTGGCATAATTTCAATTATAGTTTGCCTCATGGAATAGATGCCACCAGCTTTAATAAACATACATCTTACAAGATCCGTTCATGCTTTAGAAGCCGACAATGTATTTCAGTTAATTTCTTTTCCCGTTTATATTATCATTTTTGTGATTTCTAAGTGCAATTTCTTTAAATTGTTTTCTAATTTGTAAATATATTTAAATAATGCATTCTTTTTATAATTTCTAATTTTATATTTAAAGTAAGTGCAATCTTTTGAATCTAATTTTTAATTTGCAAATATATTTAAATAATGAATTAACACTGTCTCTTATACACATCTAGATGTGTATAAGAGACGAAATAACCAAAAGGAGCTCGGTTCATAAATTTGAATGAACATGAAAAAAAAATTCTGTGAAAATGCAAATTTTTATTTAGGAAGGCGAAAATCGGACGCACCTCGGTTTTAACGATGTGCCCTCTGTGGTGCCCAAGTGAATAAAAAAATATTTTAAAAACCGCATAGATTAAGCAATTTCCTGCACGCGACAAACATTTTCATAAATACCGGTAGTCCATCTGGTTTCCATGGTGACCATCATCTTGTTATTAGTCACATAGACAATAATTGCTAGCAGGTTGGTTGATTCTCAGTCTACCGTAAAACCTCGAAGTAAAGCCCAGTGGGCTTAAGCTCGTGGTGAAGCCCATCTCGAATTGAAGCCCCCGGGCTTCTTTTCAAGATAGTACAGTACATAAACTGTGCATGAATTTCAGAAAACAAATTAATTAAAAACAAGCTTGGTTTATACAGTAGTTTAAGTGATTTAATGCCAGTTAAATACACTCCATGATACAGCTAGATTGATGGTTACAATGGCCTTATGTATTGTTTTATAGTAGAAATTCGCAAAATTTACAGTTTCATTTTGAAAAGAAGCTCCCCTCTCTACTTTGCAAAAGTATCCTCTAAAAGAAGCACATCCAAAGTTTGCAAAAAACAGAAGCCCTTGGCTTCAATTCGAGGTTTTACGGTAAGTTATGTTCAAAACATCTATCCAAATAAAACCATAACAATCTTTTAAATTTTTACTTTAATTTTAGAGGCAATAGTCTTAGGAAAGATTTTGCGTTGGTCGGCAGGAATTATAAACTTAACCTGCACACCATACGCGTAAATGATAGAGTAGGATTGGTTAAACATTCGAATGGATCTATGGGTTTTCTATACAATGGGAAGTACCAAGGAAACGCTTTTCGCAATATACCTGAAGGTAAGCTTTGGTAATAGAGAATACATCCATTTAATCGTCTTTTAATCAACAGTAGATATTTCTTTACTGTATAGAACCTAGATTATGCTGACATAATTAGTTACTGTACCAATAATATTACACATGAAGTTGACTAACATATATCATGAAGTTGACTGATGAAAATAATGATGATGATGATTTTTTTTTATGAATACCATAATATCCTATTTTTTAAAATTTATATTTAATAAATAAAAGTATTATTTTTCACATAGAAACATCCCTTACCCAAACCAATGTGACACCCATGCATTGGCATAATTTCAATTATAGTTTGCCTCATGGAATAGATGCCACCAGCCTTAATAAACATACATCTTACAAGATCCGTTCATGCTTTAGAAGCCGACAATGTATTTCAGTTAATTTCTTTTCCCGTTTATATTATCATTTTTGTGATTTCTAAGTGAATTTCTTTAAATTGTTTTCTAATTTGTAAATATATTTAAATAATGAATTCATTTTATAGTTTCTAATTTTATATTTAAAGTAAGTGCAATCTTTTGAATCTAATTTTTAATTTGCAAATATATTTAAATAATGAATTAACATTAATAATCTTTAATTATCTTAATAAATTTAAAGTAATGAATTTAATCATCATTGTTGTTGGCCTGATTCTGATTTATATGTCACAATCTCATTATTTTTTTTTTTTTTGACGGTCATATTTTTATTATGATTGAAAGAATTTTATTGCTGGACTTCCTTATACTTTTTACATTGTGGAATTTTGATTATGTAATGACTTGATTGTATAGCTAACTTGTTTATTGTCGGTTTTTCCTATTTTAATTAACCTTTTATCTGTCTTTTTTTATGTCTCTTATTGTATATGATTGTAAGCTCAAAGGTTTGCCCTCCGAAATAAATAACAAAAATAATAATAAAAATTATGTACTATTTTCGTATTCTTGCTTCTCAGAAACCGTGTATTAATTGTACCAACCTTTCAGATTTTTTAGAACTTAGTAGTATAAATGTCTCCCATTTGGAAGTGTACATGCTCATACTTATTATAATTATTATTATTGGTCATTTCAAATTGGACCCTTCAATTTCTACTCGCCTCCTGCTATCCAGATTAATAACCTTTAAATTCATAGATAAAATGATTTGTCTTTAAACATTTTCTATGCATCACATGATTAATTAATAGAAAATAAATATAGACCAAATAAAATCCCCAAATGTACGATTTTAATAGTTATTTTGGATACTGATTTTCGTTGCTCAGGTGTTTATGGTTTAGTTGCTACAACTGGCAGATGTGTCCAAGTTTCAATCACTGGCGACGCTGGAACTACCTTTCACGGGGAACAACCAGCCGATTTACCAGTAAATCCTCCCAGGGGTAAATCAATTATCAATTACTTTAATGAATAAATAAATCATTCCATCAATCAGTTAACTGACAAATCAACCAACTAATCAATCAATTAAGCAATCATTATTTTCACGTACTATTATAATTCCATGCACAGCGTTCACCATTTACTAATGTGGGAAAGGCAGTTTTTGAACATCATTGTTAATAATAAAACTTATTTCTATTAATTGGAATATTAAATTTTGTTTAAACCTACTCAACTAAAAAGTCTAATTAAAAATAACTCAATTTCTAATGTGAAGTGCCAGTAATTACTTATTTTTACCAAAGTTAATAATATTATATATATTTTCTCTCAGAATTAGTTAAGTTTAGGACATTTGGTACCGAGGAGGTGACAATTTCTCAGCCGTTGCGTGTAGCATATGAAGTGGAACACCCAGAAGCAGGTGATTAAACTACAAAGAATACCATTAAACTTTTAATATCGAAGAAAAAATAATTTCATAAGTTGATAGACATTGTGTGACAATGCCAGTGTGTTTAGACTATTTTATTTGTACGACAATATAATAATCTATATTAATTAGATTATACAAATAGGATTAAGTATGGGACAATCACTTTTCGATATATAAGAAAAATGTACAAAGCACTAATTCTATAATTTTACCATTTTCAATTATGTTCAACAGCCGACGCCGCGCTTAATAACGAGTATATGTCCTTGGAAAAGCTACTAAGTCAGATGGTTGCTCTTCAGCTGCAAGCTTCTAAGAAAGGATACTTAAATGAAATCGACGTGAGGGCTATGCTAAATATTAGTGTTAATATCTACAATACTCATCGAAACTCTAATACGCGCGTTGACCCAATCTCAAAATTCCAAATCCGATTTATTACAGACGGTGTTATTTCGATGGGTAGATCGTTTAAAAAGCATGAAGTAGCTAATTCGCCTTCTAAGGAAACACACTATTCTTTAGGCCTACCTGAACGACGGAAGCAAGTATTTGATGTAGTGAGACCATGCTTTGATAACATTCAGGACATGAGTGGGATTGTTTGGACAGGAAGTACGAGTGAAGGCTTTGCAATAACAGATAAGAGTGGCCCTGGTACACCTTACATAGAGGATGAAATGGATCTTATGATCCCTCTTGCTGTGGCAACTGAAGATTCTCGAAGAAGCATGTGCAAAGATTTTGCAATACTCAAAAAACCAATAAGTGGAATTACAAATAAAGTTGAAGCGAAAGAAAATGAACAAGGAGACTTCAAGAAAGAATGTCTGATAACAGAACTAGAAAATATTGGAAGGTGTCAGCAAAGTGGAGAATGTCCTCCCTTCATTTGGCGTCCTTCTTTTCATGCTGGTTATGTGTCCATAAGTATTCCAGAAAGTATGGAAAATTACGTAAGTGAAAGTTTCACCAAACACGTTTGCGCAAGATCAAGATCGGCCGATGGAAGCAGTGATCTGTTTTTGACACGCTCTAAGCTTCTTGCCATCCAAGAAGAGTACACCAGAGGACGACTTCATGCCATACAATCTCATATTTCTAAAGTCAGGGATGACGAAGGGGATCAATTTAAAGGGCAACTAAGACTTGTCCAACAAGGACCTGTGCAGACTATCTCGGTTCGCTACGAATCAAACAGTGATGATGGTGAGTATGACGGTCTTTAGTGTGCATCTTAATGATGAGTTTGGTCCCTTTATGGAGAAGTTCTATTACCACGTACCATAATAAATAATCATTATTATCTAATTAACAGGCTTTGAACTAGAATTCGACCAAACAGTTGATGTAGCTATTGCATTGCATGGAGTCGATTGGCCAACATTCGCCAACCCTTGGATATCAAGAAATCGACAATGGCCTGAAAAAGACACCGTGGACAAGATAATAAAGGACGGTTATCATATTGTCCCCAAATATTTTCCTGGTGGAAGTGGAATTGACTTAGAATGGCGGTTGTCATTTTCTGTGGCTGAACGCACTCTAGCACGCACATTCACAGATAATCAACGAACTTGTTACATTGTTTTCAAAAAACTATGGAGAAAGTACTTAAAGGTATGTACCGGTATTTGTTGTTCGACAATGTTTAAAACACAAAATGTCAATGTTATCATTAATATTATGTCCTACCCTAGCTAGGGGGAAGGGGGTAAGACGCAGCTGTTTCCATTGTGGCTTGTCCGTGACCTTGCAGTCGTACCCATTCTCTTGGTTTTTGGACAGGTTGTGAAGTGGTGACGTTTAAGACCTAGATGCTAGTATTTCGTGGCATATAATTTCAATGTAGTTTTGCGCCAGGAAATTCCATTGGAGTGATGTTTTGCCCTACTACGCAAGCTTGGTGATCTAGTGTGTAAGACCCCAGCCGAGTTATCTGGGGGTCGTAGGTTACCCGAATCTCTTGCGAGATTTCTTTTGCAAATATTTGGGAACGTACTGAGTATCCAGTAAGATAACACGTCAGGTAGAACAAAACATCACTCCCATATACATAATAATACAAAAAAAGAGTAATTCTTACCAAAAAATATCTGGAGTATCCTAATTCTAATAAAAAAAATCGCAACCTAAGATATTCTGATGTACAAATTTTAAATGGCAACACCTAATTTCAATCATTTTGCTAAAATTTAATCTTGTCTTTTTTTTTAATAGGAACCAAAGGTGCTTTCATCCTATCACATCAAAACCACTATGTTTTGGCTGTGTGAGAGAACTTCTTCAAACGACTGGACAGAATTCAGTCTGGGTGAAAGGTTTCTAGATCTTCAAAATTTTCTTATCCTGTTTTTGCAAAGGCATAATGTTCCAAATTTCTTCATTCCTGAGAACAACATGATTAGTCATGTAGACCCAGCAGATGTGAAAGAAATCCTAGCAAAAGCCCAAGACATTCGTCGTCGCCAACAGTATTACCTCGACATCATGTTGCGCCATGATCATCTTTTAATAGTCTTTTACTAGAAATGATATAGATACGTCTTGAAGTTATATAAGCATATTATGAGATCTATCTTTGTTAATTATATAGTATATTTATCATCCTCATAATAATCATTATTCATTATTTTCATTCAGTAATTCTTAGTAATCAACCATCATCATAAAAACATGGGAAAATAAAAGTTCGGAATTGGTAAATGCCAGATCAGTTTGGAAAAATATCAGCAACATATTACTTATTGACGAAATCGACGCACATTATCAGTGCTGCATTTTTTCTGACACCTATCAAAATCCATTTTAATTGGCATGGTACTGAAACACATCTTCCAAAGAAAAAAGTAAATCACTGTTTAAATTGTTTATTCTGTATACATTTCACCTCGGCTTTGTGCTGAAGTCAGGCAAAAGCTTGTGTAATAAACAAGTTATTGTTCTTTTTACTTGCCTTTTGTCTTGTGTGTAAGTTTACTTCAGTAGGAATGGAAATAATTCATACCAAGGCAATTGAATTGCATGATTACATAAAACGCTAAGCACCTGTCTCAAGCGACGTACGGTAGTGCTTTTTTGAAATACAGTTTGAATATAATTCACACACGGTACGATTTTTATACTTCTAATGACCTAATTGTAATAATATCGTATGTGCCGTACTGAAACTGTAAAATTGCCATAAGCGCTGAGTTGAGTTATTTACAATATGAACCCTAGTATTACGGAGCCCCTATAAAGGGGCATACTTAGTGTAACTGCCTCAACGTAGCAGCAGCTTTGATATGCAGATTAATAAAGACACTGTAACGATTTTACTGGCTTGGCTGTATCATTTATTCTATCTTTCTTGCCGGCCGGCATATCAAGCCGTGTCGTAAAATTCCGGCAATCAAATAACAAAATTCGTAATTATTAAAATTATCAGAAAATAACAAAATCATAACACTAATTAATTAAACTAAACTATCATTAAATCAAACTTCAGGCTTTTGGAGTTATTCATCACTATCGTTATCAACACTGCTGCATCCAGAGTAAATTGTTATCACTAATTATGTCATTATTAATTTTAATTAATTTAGTGTATTGTCATTATTGTTTTCATTGATAAGTCATTTATTACAAAAATAGTTCCATGGTCAACAGTCTATAAAACAGTATCCTGCTGTGCTGCTCAATCAAGCGGAACGGACCCGCACGAGTGTACGACTTTCAGTGAATCAGCGATGAAGGAAGTTTCAAACACAACAACTTTAATTAATTGATAGTGATGTATTTTTATTCCAGTGCACTCCAAGTATAGCCTATCGAGGCTTTAGTAACACTTTTTTAGTTGCAAATACAATTGCATACAGTAATTTGTTGTAGGGTCAGCATAGTTGATTTTATGTTGTCGAGTGCTGACCTATTTTACAGGGTACGGTATTTCTAAACTTTAGTTTTCGTAATTGATTAAATGACAATATCATGCAATGCAGTGTAAGCGTCTACCTTTCTGCGGTGTGTCCGTTTATGCCAGCTTTGAAGCACGATAAGGAAGAGACATTAAAGCAGTTATCACAAGCTTGTTTTTATCTTTGTTTAAAGTTGAAGACTGCAGCATAATACAGAACGTTCAGCAAACAAGATTGCGCATGCGCTAGCAATCCCTTCAGACACCCTAATAAATAATTAATGATGTTTTGCTCAACTTACCTACGATAAAAAAACACCGGCACGTGTGAAAAAACTGCAACAAAGTTCAAAGTTCAGCGAAGTAAGATTGCGCATGTGCTAGTAATGCCTTTTTGCTTTTTACAGAAAGTGGCGTACATCAATGTTTGCTCAACCTACCTACGATAATAAAAAAAAATCGGGCGCTGCATGCGTTCCTCTTTTGTAAGACTATTGTACTACAGTACTACTAGTCAGGCTGTCTTGCTTGAGATCGTTTTACTGTACTACTAGTACTAGGCCTAAGCATAGCTTTAGACTGGCTGATAAAATGAGTATGAAGTATCCACAACCTCGACGAAATGAGGGATCAATTGACGAGTATCATGGAACAAAAGTGAGCATATTAATTATTATACTCAGGCCTAGGCTGGCGTCCTACTACCTTCTCTAGGCCCTAGGCTATATATATTATAGGCCTAGTACTAGGGGCTAGGCCTAGGCCCTACCTTGCCTAGCCCTTCCCGGGAGGCTAAGCGCCCTCCTTTGCTTCGTTCGAATGCAGTTAGTAGTAGCCTAGGCCTACTACTTACTAGGCCTAGCCTAGTAGTTGTAGGCCTACTAGACTACTAATTAATTGTTTGGAGCCTGTGATCGGGCCTTGAAACATCGGGCCTAAAAGGCCTGGGACGATATCATCGACCTACTGTACCTGTCCCTCCCATGGTTTGTTCAAACCTTCATTTGTGAGCGAATTTCTCAGTGGTACTTGTCTGTCTATAGGCAGGAACAAGTCAAAACAGCAACACTTCCAGAATGACATACTGTACTGGAAAATGGCTAAATAAAATAAAAAAACGCCTTTTTTTTAAATTAAAGGTTATTGAAAGTAACGTTCCATGGGCGTTACCTTTAAAAAACCCCTCTTGATTTCGCACCTTATTCAAGAACTTTAAAGCGCTGTTAACTCGTATCATACCTCGGTTTGATGGTTTTATTTTAACTGCTGTTAGTAATAACAACATTAAAAAGTACAACTCAAATAAAATTATCAGACCATTCTGATTCAATATTTATTTTGGTATATCATCAGTACAGTTTATTTGTCATCATCAAAACATTGTACCACACAGATAAAATTTGCACAATGCAGGACAAAAAAATATTACAATAAAAGATGATGCAAGGATAGTCTATGAAAGTTTTCTTTAAGAAGTAAAACTTAATTCCAATGTGGCACTACATAAAACCAATTATAAACATGAAAGTTTACAACGATAAATACAGTGAAAATGAGGCTAAATTGTCATAGAAGTAAAAAAACGCGAAAGAAGAACAACATTAATAATAATAATATCAATAATAGTATAACATACAAATTCAATATTAAAAAGATTGGGGGAATCACAATATAAAAGCAGTAATCATCTGAATAATTAAAACTTCAAAATACAGACAAAATGAGGCTAAACAATTTAGGTCATAAAAGTAAAAAAAGCGTGAAAGAAAAAAAGCGTGAAAACAAGAATAACATTAATAATAATAATAATAATAGTAATAATAACAGCAGCAATACAGCATACAAATTCAATTGTGAGAAAGATTGGGGAACACAATATAATATATACAATAAAAAACCAGCGAACATTTAAATAATTAAAACCTTAAAATACAGATAATAATGAGGCTAAATAATTTATGTCATGAAAGTAAAAAACGGGAAAGAAAAAAAAATAATAATAAATATATAACACTTTAAAATAACGAAATAATTTGTCATGGATGTGTAAAAAATAACAAAACAAAAAAAAAAAAACGATTCAGAAAATTATAAATTGCTGCCCGCGCCTGGTGGCGCTTCAGTCTTGGCATTGATTTTGCTTCTTCGACTTCTTCTTTTGGTCTATGCCGTTTTAGAAGTTGACATTGCCATTTTGGTCTGTTGCCGTTTTGGTACTTATCATTGCCATTTTGGTCGTATAGTTAAGAAATATTGCATTAAATAATATATTAAGCAGACTGACACATTTTGCAAACTGTCAAGGTATTTCAGATTAGGAAATGTTTTATTCAAGAATATGATCTTTTTTAAATTGTTTTAATCTACTTAAATCCTTTTCATATTTTGCTCTTTAGATTTGCGATCCGTATGTATGGATGGAGGATCCAGATTCAGAGGAAACCAAGGCTTTTGTTAAAGCTCAAAATGACATAACTTTACCATACCTTGAAAAATGCAAATATCATCAAAATTTAAATGAAAGGTAACATCCAAAAAATGCTACAAATTTTGCAAGAACATTCTATTCCCGCTGTGTACAAATTGCTTTTGATATTTATATGTCATTTTATGGTACAAATTAATACTGGTTGTTGTGTATTCAAAATTTGGAAAAAAAGATTATATATATATGGAGTAGCTGCTTGGCAAAGTGTAGATATATATCAAATAAAACTCAGGAACAAGGTATATATTTGCCAAATTTAATACAGAAAATTCACAAACGTTTTCGGCCATAGGCCTTCATCAGGTGTACAGCATAAAAAAAGAAAAAACTATATATACAAATATAACGGACGTAAGACAAAGCAACATAAGACGTGAAGCATCGCATAGGTAAACTTGATGGCTGGATGAAAGTTCGAAACATAATCAATAAAATCATTCAGTTCATCAAGTGAGCACGAGGTAGCGCCAACAACATCGTCGATATACCTTTTAAAAAGATGAGGTGTAGCTCCAGAGTATCGAGCGAATATCTGTTCTTCTAAATAGCCCATGAACAAGCAAGCAAAACTAGGCCCCATGCGAGTTCCCATACCAACGCCAGAGATTTGTCGGTAATAGTTGCCATTAAATGAAAAAGATGCAGTCTTAAGAACTAACTCGGCAAGTCGGATGAGGCTTGTCGGATCCAGCCATCAAGTTTACCTATGCAATCTCGTCCACACATGTTACTTTTCTCGACATTGAACTCTCTATTTCTGATAATCGCCTCTCGACCAGTGTGTTCTACAAATCTACCGATGCACATACGTTCCTGAATTATAAATCCTCTCATCCACCATCGTGTAAGGATGCTATTCCTTACTCTCAGCTCCTTCGTCTTAAACGCATATGTACTGATCATGATGATTTTCAACGACGAGCTACAGAAATGATCTCATTTTTTTAAGGATAGAGGATATCCTACTCACATAACTGATAATTCTTTAAAACGTATTGCGCACATGACTCAAGATGAAGCTCTACAACCCCGTACGCATGTTGACGCTGATCGAATACACATCATCCTGACTTACCATCCTACGACTACCAAAATCTTCACCATTTTAAAGAATAATTTCGATATACTTTTATCAGATGAAACCATAAGTGCGATCTTCCAATCTCCTCCACTTCGTTCATATAGAAAAGATAGGAGTTTGAGAAATAGTCTCGTCAGCTCATCCCTCAGGTCTACTGATGATTGTTCAGGATCGACTGTTTCATGCCATAGGCCTCGTTGTAATAC